TATGGGTTGTGTAGACTTCAACTGAAGTCGTAGTAGACTCTGATCTATACTAAGGGTCGTGTAGACTTCAACTAAAGCAATTGTAGACCCTGATCTATACTAAGGGTCGTGTAGACTTCAACTAAAGTAGTAGTAGACCCTCTGATCTATACTTAGGGTCGTGTAGACTTCAACCATCACTGTCGATGTCAGTATTAATCACTGGTAAACTTTACCAAAGATAGTTCGAAATGTGTGTTAAAAATAGAATTATCAAAACTAAAGAATAATGTATACAACAATACATCAACCACACAATATTTATTACATACGGTGCCGAGGAGGCCTTTCGCTAAGTACCACGGCTCTTCAGACCGGCTGGGATACGATGATATGGTATTGGTTGAGACGCTATTGAAATTAGCAAACTGATTAACTCTTTCGGTATGAACTAGATGGCGCAGTGTAATTTTTTGTTATTTACGTCACTAGACACCGGAATTAGGGTAAGGAGTTTTTTAACACTATTATTCACAGCGGAAAGAGGAATAAAGGACGAATCATAATATTTTCTACTGAATTTAATTGTCAACTACAGCTTCCAAGACATTGTAATATGAAGGACGGAACTATGAAACATGATTTTTTCGTTTCAAAATAAGAGGCCAAAGGTCAAAGTTTTACAGTTGTAGTTTAGTTATTACATTACTTGGTAAAGCCAATGAACTGCAAAAGTCAACAACTAATTTAAAAAAAGTCACTTGCCATCCGGTAATGGTAAAATCGTGACAGTCACTTGTCATACGGTAGTGGTAAATCGTGACAGTCACTTGCCATCCGGTAGTGGTAAATCGTGACAGTCACTTGCCGTCCGGTAGTGGTAAATCGTGACAGTCACTTGCCATCCAGTAATGGTAAATCGTGACAGTCACTTGCCATCCGGTAATGGTAAAATCGTGAGAGTCACTTGCCACCCGGTAATAGTTTTAGAATTCTCCAAAGATGAACGATACCCTACCTATTTGTAACATACCACCCAGAATTAGGGCCTGGAAAGGGAGGGAGGGACAAAGAAATGCTAATCTAACAAGTTGGAAGGGAGGGGGAACGTGCCTATGCCACCCAGAAGAAAAGGTATTGAACTTACAGATTTCACACGCAGAGGTGACAGCAGTAATGTGACGACAAGTGTCGTTTATTTAGTTCGTGACAAAGACACGATCGGACTACTTGTCAGGTAGCATTTAGATATTTAGGTATTTAGATATTTAGGTATTTAGATATTTAGGTAAGAATTTAGATATTTCAGTTGTTGTTTTGTCTTTTCCAAATTCTGAAAGCGTCTCATCACCCAGCCTGTAGGAGCGAGATAGCAAATTGGCACTTTAGGCAGACTTACAGAAACGGTGTTACTATGGCGACCTCCTCCCTTCATCTTCATCTTTGAAATTTGAAATTAGATATTACATAGGTGGAAGTTTGAAATTAGATATTACATAGGTGGAAGTTTGAAATTGGATATTACATAGGTGGAAGTTTGAAATTGGATATTACATAAGAGGAAGTTTGAAACTGGATATTACATAAGAGGAAGTTTGCAATTGGATATTACATAGGTGGAAGTTTGATATTGGGTATCACATAGGTGGAAGTTTGAAATTGGATATTACATAGGTGGAAGTTTGAAATTGGATATTACATAGGTGGAAGTTTGAAATTAGATATTACATAAGAGGAAGTTTGTTCCGGTACCACTGTAAGTTATCTTTATAGCAACTGGTATACAATATCAAAATAGCTAGAAGCCATTCCTCGCTCCAGTGTCCAGGCAATATCGTATGGTCATTCCCGATACTATCAAAACTTCCTGTTTTTTTTTAGACACTTTCTTCTACTATGAGACTACCTTTACACAATTTTCGGGCAGTGGACACTCCTGGGTTTAACGACTATTCTCCTGAAGAGACGTTCATTGAACCTTCTGCAAACAAAAAGAACGGTAAAGTTATGAATACTTTTTTTTTGCAAGCTGGACAGTAAGTTGGTGGTATGCAAAGAGCACGGTCACTGCTACTCGATGTGACACGGTTCTCGACCAAGGCTGTCTACATCAAAGGCAGCGGTTTCATGTACAGTGGGACTCCTCCTCCTTCAGTCAGACTAAGTAAACTATGGCTTGAAGGTCAGTGTATTACCCCCCCTGGTCAATGAACCCCACAGAGCATGTGTGGTCAGTGTATTACCCCCCCCGGTCAATGAACCCTACAGAGCATGTGTGGTCAGTGTATTACCCCCCCCATGGTCAATGAACCCTACAGAGCATGTGTGGTCTTTACTCGATCTTTCCCTACAAAAGCGTGCCAAATAACCAACAGCAAGAGATATCCTTTTTTTTTTCTTCAAGTTCTTTGTTACGAGCGTGTGTATGTGTGTGAGGGGGGTGGGACTTCCACTTCCGCAGGCCCAGACTTCCGAGCTTATAACTACAATGACTAACCGCGTTTCTTCCTTAAATATTAGAAAGGGCAGATCCACGAAATACTAATGTATATTTTGTTTCGTGTTTGTCTATTTAACGAAACGATTTTTTTTTTCCTGAAATATGTGTGTTTTCTTATTGGTAGGTTGTGTATGTCAAGATAATGGCCAAATGTTTTTATATTTATCAACTATTTCCAAATTATCAGTATCATTTGAAAATAAAATAAACATCAGACAGTAGGTTGTATCGTTGTGTGTGCGTGTGTGTCCCCGAAAGTGTTATGTTTCAAAAGTAAATAAAAACAAAATGAAACAAACCACTGTTTCCAGAGAGTGTTCTTGTGGTACATTGTAAATACATTAGCAGATATACTTCCGCAGGGTCCCCGAAAGTGTTATGTTTCAAAAGTAAATAAAACCAAAATGAAACAAACCACTGTTTCCAGAGAGTGTTCTTGTGGTATATTGTAAATACATTAGCAGATATACTTCCGCAGGGTCCCCGAAAGTGTTATGTTTCAAGAGTAAATAAAACCAAAATTAACAGTAATATATATATATATATATTTGTTTCTTACTTGTTAAGTTCATATGTCATTCTGTGTTGTTGCTTACAGAGTGCATAATTTTTCTCGTGTTTCTTGACATGTGCACATTCTAATGACGTCACGACAGTACAAATTGTGACTTAATTTTCGTGTCTACTTACTGACTGACAGAAAACCCACTACTTTATAATGGTGCGAGTGGTTAAAAGAGGTGACCCCCTCAAGGCGGCCTTAGGCCCCCTTTCGTGGAAATTATAAAATTATCTTTAGGATATTTACTTCCAGTGTTTATTTCTATTAAAGTAAACAGTAACTGTTTTCACATTCTTAAAACCAAAGAATTTTGAAAAAAAAAAAAAGATTTTTAAACTACGAAAATATAGTGGATAGAATAGAACCTTATTATCCAGTTTCTTTATAGTTTTGACAACAAATCACAGAACAAGTGACTTTCTACACCGTGTCATAACTTTGGTTTGCTTAAGTTGAATATGAAACGTGCCTTAAAGAGTGAAGACAGATTTTTGCTTTGACCAGGATAAAATATATGCTTTAATATATTTTTTTTTCAATAGGAAAATAAAAGCCGCGGATATATTTTGTTTGTTTTGAATTTCGCGCAAAGCTACACGAGGGCTATCTGCGCCGTCCCTAATTTAGCAGTGATAGACTAGAGGTAATACAGCTAGTCAACACCACCAATCGCCAACTGTTGGCCTACCCTTTTACCGACGAACAGTGAGATTAGTCGTCACATTATAACGCCCCTACGGTAGAAAGGACGAGCATGTTTGATAGGACGAGGATTCGAACCCGCAATCCGCAGATTGCGAGTCGAGCGCCCTTACCGTGGATAAGACCACGATCGTCAACTTTCGTTCATGTTAAAGCTTCTCCGCAGTTCAGATTAGTAGGTCAGAATACTTCGGACAAGTTTAGAGTTTACTGCCATTCTGACCAGTGGCAAAAAACCAGGTCAAATTGTATTATTTTTTAATATTACTGTAATGCAAGGAAGTCGGAAGAGAGATCATTTCAAGTGAAAAATATAACATTTACAGTAGGATAAATCTTCCCGAGTAACCATTTCAATTTTATTGCAAGTTTAACTGTTTTAATTAGAAAAAAATGGAACTTACCCCGGGTTCGGGACACTGGTTGATACTACCGGCTATATAGTCCATATTCCTTGTGATCACACTGCTGTTATAACACAAGTGGATGTTCTCTGTAAACCGTTGTTCTACTACAGCCAGTGAGTAGACGCACAGCGCGGATTTCCGAGAGGGCTTCGAAGTGTGGTCTTTACTAACGGCGAAGACTCCGACAAGGACATCGGATCCTATTCCAGTTCGAAATGCTTGAGCCAGATCAGAACCCGCTGGACCCACAGCCGCATCTTGCAGAACGTTGAAGTCTGTGCCGTCCGGTCCTATGCACTGTAACGACACTTCTGTGTAAGTGTTATATCCTGCGTCGGAAGTGCACACTCTGGACAATCTGGTAATGTAGCCCCACTCCTCGAGCGCCCTCAAGTGAGATTTCCTCTGCACTGTGGCGAAGTAAATAAAACCTCCTGAGTGGAAGCCGTAGATGTAGTTCACCAGGTAATAGTCCCTCAAGTGAAAACTAATATCCACCCTGGCAATGGTGGAAAACGACTTTTCAATGATCCCAAATAGGCGGCCATTGCCCTCTTCAAGGCTTCTACTAGTGATGGCAGGGACCATGTCTCGGTAAGGTCCCAGATGGCTGTTGGTTGTTGCCACATATAGAACCCTGGAAGGATAACCGAAATATTGGGCAGGACCGATAAAGGCGTATGTAGAAGAGTTCTCATCGTTGGCTGCTACTGGAACAGGAACCAGTTCCTCGGCGTTTGCAATGTTCCCGAGCTCGTGACGGCGGCAGGCTCCCTGGTGGACGCTACCACAGACAATCAACTTGTTGGCCCGATTGTCGATGACTAGGACTTTATTGACATTAGTGGTGTTCACCTTCTTCTGGAGGGTGCAATCAGTCGGAGAACATTGAATGCTGTCCTCCACGGGACCCGTTTTGACCTCAGTCTCCAACTTCAGTGAGCCATCAAACTGGTAAAGCCAGTTAGTAGCACCGATGTATACACGTCCAGAGTTCTGGTCCACCACCACGTGAGTGAAGTTTACACTTTTGTTAAATGTCGTGTAAGACACAACAATAGGAAGATCGTGATTCGCGCGAACAGGACATAACAGAGTCACCCATACCAAAGCTAAGCTTTGGCACAAACATACCCATGCGTAACATCTGATCCTACTCATTCGCCAGACTGCGTAACTTCCTCCACGCCGCATCTTAATTCTTTCTCTCTCTCTCTGGTTAAATCATTACAATGGACCAATTGCTGAAGAGCAGTTTCCCATTTTCTCTTGAATTGATTGGTTGAGAGAAGTCGATGTCATCAACGCGTCATCTTCCATTTGTTTTCCTGAAATAATTACGAGACTGAATCGTTATGGTCCACAGATTTACACGTCGAATTTTGCGTGTTTTAACGTATAGAAAACATATTCAATAATTCTGAAAAACAACTTTACACAACAACAACAAAAATGCATATTATGTTACTGTCAACATTCTGCAAAGTTTATCTTGGAGGAAAATTACATAGGGTATGTTTTCAGTTACTTGCTTCAAACGTGAATATAAGGGAATTTACAATCTTTGGTCAATTAAAAACTTATTACCATGGCTTTACTCCATCATTGATCCTAGTATTTCAAAAACAAAAACAAAAACACGATGTGTGTGTGGGGTGGGGGAGAGAAGACACTTGAAAATTTAAGTAATCGCGTGTGATTAACTCTTTGCAAGCATTCAAATGTTTTTTTGTTGTTTTTTTTATTGCTGTTGTTTTTAATTCGAACTTCGTCATCCATATTATATTACTATTATAACGTTTAACAAATGCTTTCTGGGTGATTGTTATGACCCTTCGTACGAGTAACTAATTTTTGTTCTGAAGTATAAAATGCTCAATTGCGAGACCTTGAGGTATC